AAAGGAGGGAGATTCGGCCTAGGGTTTCACACCTGAGGCTTTACACCAACATTCGGCTTCACACCAAAAATTAGCTAACAAAAAATTTCATTCAACTCTTCATTATTTTTTCATTCTGATTACAACAGTGCTTTTATAAAACAATTACAAAATCTCTCAAAATCAATCAGATTCCTCAAATCACTCAGATACTAAAAACTGATTAACTATTAAACTTGACACAAAATTCAAAATTTAAAATTCAAAATTCAAAAATTAAAATCCTACCAAAATAGAAAAACAAAAATCCCTCAAATTTCTCACAATTAGAACTAAATTAAGATCTGATCAAACTTGTCAAATCTTCCTTATTCAAAACTAAAATAAAAGAAAGTCAAATAACAAATATGAAAATTACCATTATTGTCCTCATCATTCTCCCCGGGTGGGAGAAAACTCGACTCCGTCGAGTTAGTTGCAGAAATTTATCAACTTTAATATACTGTCTTTGTCAGGCTGAACTGGTTCGACGTGAGGGACCTCTGGAGGTGGTGTGACGACATCAAATCTGAGTGGTGGGAGTTCTCCGAGAGCTACGTAACTAGGATGAAGCGGCGTGTCTGGGTAGAAGCGTCGGTGTCACGAGCTGATCCCCAAACAACTCTCCACGCTCTCGGCAATCTGAGGAGTCACGCGCTCAATGTATCCGGCTACGATCTCGAACGGCTGATAATCGAACCACTGAGAGCTGTAAATCAACCACGTCTATCTCTAGATCATACACGAACTGGGCGTCTTCGGCTTCAGGATCGATCATGCACCAAAGGGCTGCGGAATCGGGGTTCGAATCGGATTCGAATTGGACTCGAACCAGACTTTAACGGATCTGAATAGTACGGGTTGGATCTGAGCTGGAAATCAAGTTCACTTAAACCTGGTTTGGGTCTGAACAACAGGTCAGATCCAACTCAGATCCAAAATGCCCCTTTTCTATGTTTCTTCAGTCTGAAGACGAAGCAGGCGGCCGGATTCCTTCGAACGACGAAGGCAACACGGAGGAGCGGGGAAATCACGCGACGAGAGGAACAACGACGATAGCTGGGCGAACAGGGCGACGTCTTGGTGGGGTCTTCAATGTACTGAGGAATGACGGCGAGGTTGTGTACGGCTGTGGCGGAGGTAATGGTAGGCGCTAGCGCTTGCTCGAAGGTGAAAGAGGCGGAGGAGAGGCGGCGGTGTTAGAAGGTGTAGAGACGAGAGAGAGACAAGTGATCTCAAACGGTGGTACCCTCATGTGACTGAGGATGGACGGACGCAGAGCTGACGGCCGAGCAGACGAAGGACGATGCAACCGAGGGTAGGGTTGCGGTCAGAGGTAGAGGAAAAGAGGAAGACGGCGGACACGTGCGATATGCACAGTGTCAGCATACACAACAAGTTCTTAGCTATTTAAATCTGTAACTATTTGTGAATAGAGTGTCAGCAGACACGTGCATGATATAGATGAGGTAGTGAGATGATACCATGGACATTAGTTTAGGGCAATAGAGTGGGAAGGAGAAGAAGCCATATATGAGACTTGATGAGGGAAAGAGTGAAAGACCTATAATGTTGATAAGTTACGAATTCACTTTGATCTTTATTGTTCAAAGTCTACTTAATCATGGTTAATTTCCTTACTGTAGGCCTTTTGAGTGGGTTTCATGTTGTTAGATTTGCATTTTAATTTTAGAACTATAGGGTGTGCAAGAGCCATAAACCTAGTAAATGGTCAAAAGTACAAGTTTTGTAATTGATTGTCACGATGTTGGATTTGTAAAAAACCATGTATCAAACACTTGGTTATTTGTTGAATTGATTACATTAAATTTTTTATTTGAAGTGGTTATTATTTATTTCATTTGAATGATTGGTCCTATTGAAATAGAAGAAATAACTAATGCAAAAACAATTGAAAATCAATGCTCCAAATGATTGCAAGAATATACAATAATATTTCTGTGAAAATATTTTTTAAAAATCTTCAGCACAGTTAGCATTGGTTGACGTGCTCATAAAAGTAAAATAATAAACCTTATAGCAATGATTGTTTTCCGCTGTTAATACACTCTAACAATGGTTGGGATTTGCTAACATAGAATTTTTAATCTTTTTTATAAAAACTCTAATGGCAACGATTGTACACAATTGCAATAAGCTAATTGCAACTACCTTATTAAGGCTAGTTTGGTATTGATTTTTTTAGGATACTTCTACTTATCTTTTCAAGAAGCAACTAATAATGTTGTTTGGGGGAAAATATTTTGGCATGCTTATTGAAATTACTTTTGTTTCAAGGGGGTGCTTTTAGAAGTAATCTGAAGATGCTTTTAAAAGTAGCTTCTAATTCTTTAGTTTATATACCATATATATGTTTTCTCTTTTAAAGATGATCGTTAAGCCTAGTTCTACAAAACACCTTAGTTGTTTTAAATAATTTTTGATATTTGATTACCAAACAGCTCTTTTCAGCAACTTGTATAAGTTACTTCTATAAGCTGCTTTTATAAACAACTTATTATAAGCTCCAGCAATACCAAACTGACCCTTACTTATGGACTAATTACAACAATCTTACCCATCACTGATGTATTAGAAACAGTCTATGTTGTTGCTAATAGGCTTATTAGCAACGTTTGAACCATTGCCATTAAGACCTTTTGTCACAGTGCTATATACCATTAGAGATCAGGTAACTTATTAGCTAGTTGCATGACATCAATGAACCCAATAATAACAATGAATTATTCTCATAGATGCATCAGAGGTTTCAAAGCAATGATATGAATGATAATGTAAAGAGTCTACTATTCACTGACGTTTGACATATCATTGCAAATAAATGGGTCAAATTGACTCATAAAACATTATATCATTATCACATCACCCGACATTGATATAGTCATGTAATATCTCAATCACAGTGGTACAACAAGGCAAGAAAATGCAGAAATTATCAAAGTGTAAACATCCGATCTACATCCAATCATCTTACAATTGTTTATACAAGTCGAATATGACACTAGTCACAGATATTAACTTAAGAGGAAAGTTAAATTTAAATGAGCTTCAAAATCATGCTTGAACATGAAAATCAATGTTATAGAAAGTGGACGCCTAGCCCTAGGTGCCTACACCTAGGTAGGCCTTAAGCAAATTTTCCTTTTATAACTAGAGGTAGAGGATGTCTTGTTGAAGCTTGGAGTCGGTAAAGGTGTTCGGAGTCGGATGAAGAGGGCATAGGAGGTTGAAGGACATGGAGGCGACAGTGAAGGAAATCACAATCACGATCTAAGCAGTGCAGTCTTTATAAGCAGCCTATGCTACCCTAAGCGCTCCTAAGACCTAGGTAGGCACCCATACTACTTTTTAAAATCATAGACAGAAATAAATACAAATAGATTCTGATAAAAAAAATTCTAAGTAATTCAGAATGTAAATCTTGTTATCCAAAGTTGTAAATTGTTATCCTATCACCCCACATTGCCTCTACTCATTATACTAGTTGCATTACAACTTACAAGGTAAAAAAACGAGTGTGTTTTTTCCTCTTAAAAATATGAATTAAAATGAACCAGAACCTAGGGATATGGACACTTCTATTATGAACCCCTGCCATGCCAGAAACCATATTTGACATAACACTTCTTGCAACGCTTTCGTTTTTCATACACATTTTTTTAGAATTTGAAGGGTATCAGTGTGTTATGTCATGTCCTGCCCTCATCAATGTACCCCAACCGTACAACAAAATTCAAAATTGTTGATTCACAAACATCTCCAGTTAGTATGTAGTTTTATTCCTAATCATTTACTCAATCTAATATGGCACTAGCTAAATGAAGGAACACAGTAATCGTGACATGAGAAACATGGGTAGATTTCCCAAGATTACCTTGAAATATAAGGCAGTTTTGCAGAATACCACTCTGAAAAATCTATGGTACCTATTCAGCTTTAACATAAGCTCAATAGTAGTTTAATGATTCTATATCTTCAATTCCATGGTAATTATATAAGACTTAAATAAAACTACATCGTATTTAACTCATGAGTAGATTTTTAATAGTATGTATTATTAACACTTTCATGTAAAATATTTGCGAAATTTACCAGCACCAGCGAGATACTCCATCAAGACCGTATAAGTATGACAATTCGGCTTCAACCCGGCATCAATCATCTCCCTATAAACCCCCGCGGCCTCCTTCTCCCTCCCACAATCAAACAAAATCTTCATAAACGCCGTATAGCTCACCACGGTCAGCCCGACCCTCCTCCTCCCCCTCCTCATCTCCTCCCAGACCCTAACC